AACTTCCAATGATTTCCCTTCACGAACTTTCACCAGACACGAGCTTGCTTGTTGTTGAGCTGTTGGTGTCACGCAACCGTCCTGTCCCACAGCTGGTCGGTGACCTATCCTTCCAGGCTTGGCTCAGATCCTCTCGCTTGCTTGCCTCCCGCCTCACCAGTCCAGCAAGGTCTCCTTCCTGTGTGCTCCCAGCATCTCTCATTTGTGCCGCCAATGCTAAGGTGACCCTCTTGCTCTCTGATATTATGGCACCTTAACTCCATGCTGAACTTCTCTCCCTTACTAGACAGAAGGGTAGGGTTATTAAAACCCTCCTCCCCAGAGCCGAGCACAAGCACTCTGCCCAAATGACAACTTCAGTTAATGTTTATTGAAAGCTCAATGCAGAATCTAAAACCGATTGCCCTCAGGCTCTATTAAAGGGAGCCCTATAAATTCACTGAGGATGAATTTCTAGATTTTACCTAAGAAAATAGATTTTTTAACTCCAAAGTAATCTTGTTAACTGCACTTAAAACATCCATTTAGGGAGACAAAATGAACGTGCGAGTCAAATCATTTTTCTTGAACACTCACTTCCCATACAGCCAGACTGAAATTATTTCAATCCTGCACGAGCCAAGGAAATTCATCCCCAAGACAGGCAAGGGCTCTGATCTGTTGCTCCAGGGAGAGTTTTGGACCAAAACAAAGGCCTCCCCCCAACTTCAGATCATGCTTTGAAAGCCAACCAGTGAGGGCTTCATTTGGTTTAGTGCAAGAATTGCACACATCCAGTCCCTAGAGACACATCTTGCTTGCTAGCATTGCCATTCAGATCTGGGACCAGAAAATGAGCCCCAAGGCTAAGCTTGTGAATAAAAAAATTGGAAAGCTATGTAGAGCATGGGAGCCAAGAACACGAGGCTCTGTGTAAAGCCCTTAAAATATGGCCTTTAAATAGCACTGTTCCAATTTCCCTCCTTCTCCTGTTTAGAGATTTAGAAAATCACTTAGAGTCCTTCAGTGATATAAATCTACTTGGGAAAATCTTAAAATATTTAAGGAGCCTGCTGACATAAAGCAGCTAGCGCCTAGGACTCATTGCTCCCATCCCAGCCCCTTGGTTTTCTTCCCCTCAGCCTCCAGATTTAGCTCGACACTGGGGAGCTTCACCTTGCTACTAGGCGAGCCCCAGTTCTCCATCTGAATTGAAACTCTCCGAGTGTATATGCCAAAGGAACGCCGCGAACGTAAGGCATTTACAATCTCAAGGCTCGTATGTACATCCTTGATTCACTTTGTATTTTTAAGAACCCTTCTCGCCTATTTGAAAAAAAATCTTTCCACTATTTAATTAAGTGCAGTGTTATTGAACATTTTGAGCAAAATATGCAAGGTGGTGGGAGCAGGAGGGACAGTTAGAGGCTGTGTTCTGAGAAACTGGCTTCACAGCCAAGCTTTGGGAGGCTGTCCACAAGCTCCCCTTCAGCCAAGTGTCTGCACGAGAGCGTGGTGCTTTCAGCTCTTTGTAACATAACTCAACTCAAAATGGCTTAACTAGTAAAGTGGCTATTTTATATAACCAAGCGAGAGGTGGTTCACTCAGCAGAGCATCTTCAGGGGCCCAGGTTCTGCTTTTGCTTGGTCATCCTGTTGACTTTTGTCCTTGGCTTGTCTCCCTGCAGGGCTGCGAAACGGCTGCAGCCGCTCCAGGCTCCACTCTTACAGCACTGCCTTTGGACACTGTCAAATGGGGGTGACATGCTCTCCCCTTTTGAAGAGGGAGAAGGCCCCCAACCGACCTCCCACGGTAGTTCATTGCCTAAAACTGTGACACATGTCCATTCCTAAATCCATCATCCGGCCTAGAGAAGGAACTTATGACTAATTTAGACCAACTGCAGTTCACCTCCCGAGACGCATCCCCATCTGATACATGAATAAAAATCAGGGTTTTATTAGCAAAGGCGGCAGAGGGGCAGTGGCTGGTTGATAAGCAACCACAGTATCTTCCATAAGGAGGTCACCTCTTTTAGGAGATTAGGAGTGCCGCCTGAAACATTTATGCTTTAATTTTCGGTAATGAGACCTTCCTGAGGGTGTTTAAGCAGGAAAAGAACAATGAACAGAAAAATGCAATTAAGATGTAAGCAGCTTTAGAGCCTTCAATTCTGAAAATTGCCATTTTTCTCAACATATACTGGTGATAAACATACTTGCATTAATTAATTGAACACATATTTTCTGAACCCCTGCTTTTCCAAGTGCGGGGATACAATGCTTGGACAAATGGCTGGGGTTCATGCCCTCCCTGGAGCTTATATTCTATCAGGGAAGGCAAACCTACATAATCCCAAGTTTGGCTCTGTTAAGGAGAAAAGCAGCAGGGTAAAAAGACTCTCAGTGAAGGAGAGGTGGGGGTGGTATCAACTGGCTAGTGAAGGGAGATTCTGGAGATGACACCTGAACAGGCCTGAGTAACAAGGAGCCTGTCATGGAGGAGCTGAAAGCAGAACCCTGAAGCACAGGAAACAAGTGCAAAGACCCTGAGAGGAATTCTTGGTGTGTTAGAGACTCATAGAAAACCTAGACAGCAGTAAGAGGGACGGTGGTATAAGCTTGATTTGGGTCAGGAAAGGATTTCTTAAACAACACTCTCTCTCCCTCTCTCTCTCCCTCTCCCCCCCAAGCTGAGGTAGGTGGATCAGGGCCAGGACATGCAGGGCCTTTCGGCATGGTGAAAGATTGTATGTTATCCCAAGTGTAATGAGAAACGATTTTCAACAGGAAAGAAACTTTTCCAATTTCACTTTTTGGCTCCTCTGTGAAAGAAAGAAACTGAAAGGGGCAGAACTGGAATTAGGCAAAGCTGCTGGGAGCCAGAGGCAGCAGGCCACGTACAAGGAGGAGGCTTGGAATTAGGTGGTGGTGGGACAAGTGGACGGATTTTATGGGATGCTTCCTGGTAGTGGACGGTTGTAGGGTGTAGGACTTAGTATTAGGAGTTACTTAGAAAAGTTTAACAAGGAGATAGAGAGACCTTCTTAAAAAAGTGTTCTAGGCCAGTGACTCCTCAGGATCTTGTTAAAATGTCGATGATGATGCAGCAGGTCTGGTGTGGGGCCTGAGATTCTGGGGATGTAAGTAAGGCAAAGCATACAGGACAGAGTTACCAATATTGTAATTATTGGTGGTGCCAGGTGGGCACTTGAATTATTGGCACACTTTGTAACCTATATGAATGTCTATCCACTGCACTATACTCTCGAAACTAATACAAAATAGTGATGAATGCAAACTGTAATAAAAAATTTAAAAAACAACACCTTGCCACTGTCACAAGAAAGTTTTATTGGCTAGCGCTGCTCCAGACAGCAGAAACTATTTCTAGCTCTCGAGGCTTGCTGGTACCATGTCTTTCCTCATTCTGGTCCTTTCACAGGGAACACACATACTGTCTCTATCTGCTAAAATCAAATGCACCTTTCAAGAATTATCTCAAGTGTACCTCTTCTATGGTACCTCTCCTGAAACAGAAACTGGGTATGCTGCTTCCTTTAAACCCACACATTTAGTTTTTCTCTGCAACATATTTCTACTGTATTTTGCCTACCTAATATCCAAAGTATCCTAGAATTTAACTCCCTTCTCTCTGGTTGTAGAATCCCTTCCTCTATGGGGGGAGGCAGTGTGAGGGGAGGGCTATTTCTTGCTCATTTTTCCCATGTGGTTTACTTGAACTTAACTCTATCTTTAGCCTGTCATTAGCATAAGCCAGATGACAGCCAGAGACATCAATCCCAGGACATTTGCTGAAAAAATTAGATAAAGGTGCTCTTCTTCCCCTGGAGTCACTAAGCTGGCTGGATGCAAATATGGGTCTGCTGGTAGCCCTCTTGCCATGAAATATGCAGAATGAGAACAGCTCAGAGGAAAGCAAAATCAAGAGGGCAAGACAAGCCCTGGATGACGACATCTCACACTTGGCTACAGCTGTACTCGGAGTGCTATCTACCCTTGAACGTTCGTTACTGGGGACTATAAATTTCCTATTTCTGCTTGCATAAGCCAGTGTGTGCTGCAGGCACCTTGTCCCTTACAGTCTCTCCTCAGCCGTCTGTGCTCTGCTTTGATCATGGTAGCAGCTCGGCCTCCCGAGATCTCCCTCACTCTCCTCTGAACCAGCCCTTTAACCTGTGACTCACAACCCCCCGTAGCTGGTTTCTTATCACAGGTCAGGCATGTGAACATATGCCCACCTGAATTAAAATTTTCTTTACAGTTTTAATATTCAAATTATTTTGACATGTTGATAATCAAATATTATGGAGCCAAAGGTAATTTTCATTATCTGCTGGTGCAACTTGTATTAACATTTTTCTGGATTTTTACAGTTGGGCATACATAGATTACAAATTGATTAATCTCTTTACTACATGTCACCCCAAACGGGCAGCACGTTCCTAGTGAGCATGCCCTGGGTCCTTGCCTGGCTAGCCCGCACACACCTCTAGGATATCCATCCTTCACCCGCCCTGGTCCCCTAGCTTTGCAGGAACTCTCCAGAGCCCCCGAGCTGCGTGACCGTCTGGTCTGGGCCAGGGGCCGCTGCAGTGCCTCCAGACCCCAGCCTTCCGCCCCCTCGCCTCTGGGTCAGCTCACACGGCCCTTCTCAGCGTCGCGTGTGGGTTCACTCTCCTCTTCATGTCTCTCCTGGGATGTGTGGACTCTCACCACAGTCTGCTCCGAAGTGACTCAGAAGGACCCACGGGCACTGCGTTGTCGGGAAGGTTCCTAGATTCTAATCTCAAAGGTTATCCCAAACCCAGATCTGAAACTCACCACCCCATCTGCCACTTGCTCTCAAAAACGATCTTTTCTAACTAGAACTGGGCTAAAGAAGGAGCAATTCATTCACAAAGGAACAAACAGGCCCTAGATACTCCACCCGACCCGACAAAATGTTTTAATATACTTAGTGTACAAAATAAGATTTAAGAACACTCTAGAGGGCCATGTACACGATAAGATTTATCTTTTATTAGAGATCTTATATTACATTTTCCCAAAAAGATATAAAATCTTCCAAGAGAAAATATCAAAACCTATTGATTCCAAGGTAAGCAACATAATCAAAACGAAAGCAAAGATTTCCTTCCAAACAAAAGAATGTGAAAACATTTCGGCACAAGTACAACAAAGACATTGGAAGGTAATTACAATGTTTTACCACACACTTTACAGCATTTTATTTTAGTCAGTATTTGTAGGAAACAAAGATGCTGAGTCCTCAGACACTGCAGTTAAAATCGCAAATTAAAATTAAAAAAAAAAAGGATAGGAGAGAGTAATGAACTATTGGTCAACTGAACGTCATGTGTTGTAATAACTGTAATAAAACCTAGGCACACAAATATGCCACCGAGATCACAACTGAAGTGTACAGAGACACTGAATGATTTAATCAGTTCTTGACCACAGCCCAAAGCAAAAGCATCCCCTCTTCATTTCCCTGATACTTTATTCTAAAGATAAAAAGCAGAAACTTGCTTGTTAAAGAGATTCTGCTTTACCTGTGAGCAGTTGGTGGCAACACACTGAGTAAGATCCGACTGGCATGGGACAGACCAGAAGTGGCAAAACCACTGTTATTGCATCAAGATTTTTTACTTCAACTGATCAGAATTCCCAGATGATTAACCACAGAACACAGTGAATGCCCACAGGAAGGTTTTACATTTAAGACGCAATGGAAATACTGATTTATTCCTGGAATTTGCTTCTGACAATACTAAGAACTGCAGACATCCACAAAAGGGAAGTGTTTGTTTCTTTTTTTAGGTGTTTATCCCTCCCAAATGAGGAAGGAAACTTACAGTACATGTTTATTGCATGAAACTACTCCCTTTTAATATCTTTATCAACACCAGTATTGTTTCCTTAATTATTAAAGGCGAAAGAAGTTCATGAATTTAACATAACTTAACAATGACCTTAGGAGCTGCATCTTGATTAAAAATCAAGATAATAATCAGACTACATGGTGAAACAGAAATTAGGTTTTAATTTCTCTAAAAAGAAGTTGGAGTAACAGGAGGTAAATGGAGGTTTAAAGTCAGGTAATCACCTATTAGTTAACATAAAGAGAACTTTCAAAAGTTTGCATATTCAAACATCCTTTCTATATTAAAACAATATTCTAAAATGTTGCTAATGTTGCTTTTATTTTAATGTCAAGTTAACAATGATCGCAAATAAATTTTATCAAAAGTATTGTAATGGCACATGGGCTTAGAGCTTCGCTTTGAGGTTAGCACACACATACAAAAGCTTGGAATTCACTGAACAGACATATACTTTAATAGGATGAATCACGGTGAGCTACATACAATTGGGTTTCCAAACAGGGTCTGTTTTAAAGCATTCTCTCTTCAGTGTCCTTAACGCCTCTGAAGTGGAAACGGTGTGTACTTTGCACATCACACAATCCTTGCTTCAAGTTGCAGTCTCCTTGGCAGCAGCATATTTTAATCAACAATATTTTTTCTCTTGTTTTGTTTTCTGAGATCTCAGTACATTCAAATAGTCAAAATGTTTAGAGTGTTATCACCACAAATTTAATGAAACAGATCAGAATGTGGCCAGCATCATCAGGCAAAAATTTTATAATTTATGTCATAGAAAGTACCCATGCCCTCTCCCTGCCCCAACCTCCCCCCTTCCCCAAATGGTAACATGGACACTAAAAGATTTAACAAGACTTATAAAAAAATAAGGCACATTTATTTTGATATGGTATTTTTAAAATAGAAACCCCTTTTCAGAACATCTGTATTCAAATGAGCTGTGTAAAAAGACACCTTGTGGTACCTAAAATAGGTTATGGTACCTATGGAATTGCTTCTTCTCTTTCAGTGACACTGGAATAAACTGCACCCATCTCACATTGTCAAGTAATGAAAATAGGCCTCTTTTTCTACTATTGAATGACTCAGAATCTGCTATTTCTGGAAATACTTTACAAAGGGTAGGAAGGGAGGGGTCAAGTGATACATTAGAAAAAGGTGTGAAAATCAACTATATCATCAGGGCTGATGGATTGCACTTTTCCACGTATTTCAACACATGAACATTTTCTAACATGTATGAATGATTGCAACTATTTTGGCCATTAGCTATGACCCACCAGCGTCTTATTCCATTTTGGTAGAAGTGGGCATTTTTTGTAAAATTAACGCAGGATTGGCAACATGAATACTCATAAGAATCTCTTTACAACCTCCAATGCAGACAGAATTAGTGAATATTTAACCTGAGATACAATCTGCTGTGAGGTTGTCTTTAGACATTTCTTTGTTTGTTGCATCAATTCATACCGATGGTGGTACTTGATGGAAGAAACTTAAAACCACAACAACAAAAAAAACCAAACTGGTTTATAGCATGGCTTTTTTTTTCTTACTGTAATGGTTCAAAAAAAAAAAAAATCACAGAATTCATGTTCTCACAGTAGCCAGAAGCTAAAATAATGTGCTTCTTTATTGCACGTAAAACCAAGAAGTGTACAAAAGCCAATGCTTCGCAATCCAAATCTGAAAGCCAGGTTTACCTCAGCTGGATTCGAAATGTGCTGATTTCCATGGGCTTCAAGTTGATCTCACTTATGTTGCGGGCATCTGGAGGTGAGTGCATCAAGGATAACGATGAAGGTATGAGGCGTGCAACGGTAAACTTGTTAAAAAGTTTATGTACCAATATCTGAAAAGTAAAGGATAAAAAGTGCATATTTAGATGAACTCTGATCAACCCTGGAGGAATATCAGTCACACAGCTCTCTATAATCAATGCCAAATAGTATGAGACTTAGCAAAACAGTATGTCTGGCGTTCATTTGAAGTATAATAATGAGGGAAGGGAGATTAAATACACCTCTGCAGGCTTCAACATACACACCGTCCCTGGGGACAGACAAGGACAATAGTAGGCAGGAGAGGGCAACTTACACTGCATTCCTTTTCTGTACTGCCTGAGAACTTAGTATGTGCGGGGGCCACTTTTTCAATTAAAAAACAGGGACATCTATGGGCCAAGAAGCTTTAAAAACACCCCTGTCCTCTTTCAGTCAACATTTACGTCAACACACGTGGCTCCCAACCATTTTTCCTGTTCCAACAGAGCTGACAGAGGACACATGCCTGCAAGGAAGGCTCCTCATGTCAGTGAGTTCCATTTACAGGGTGGGGAGGTTGCACGAATATGTCTCTCTGGATCCTATAGCACCTTTAAGACTCAAAGCCTTAATGTTTGAATACAAATGCTCACAACCAAGTATACTCAGATCAATAGTAAGGTCGGAGGAGGTACAAATATAACAAAATAAAGAGAAATAAAGATATCAATACTTCCTTAGCGCCAACTCCACGACTGGTGAAGTAAAAGAAACGAAGTTTATCTACGTAGATTTAGGTCTCCTACCGTATTTCGCTTCTTTTCAGATCCTGTGTACATGCTAATTTGTAGGGTTTGAAACTGAATCTGTTGAGCTAGGTCTACAGTGTATGTATGAGGTTTTGGAGAAGAGCTGGGTCAGCTGAGCTGCCGGGTGGGACAGACCTGCCTGTGTGCTACAACCCGCCCAACTGTGTTCTCTGAGCTACTCAGAGACACAAGCAGAAGACTGGAGGTTTGTTTTCTTCCAAGGGGAGGACTGAAGGAACTGTCAGCAAGAACAACTTGAAGAGAAATAAAAAGTGGGCAGTTAGCAAGCAGTGGTCAGCCTCAGGGTCTGTTTGGCCTTTGCCGTGTGGACTCACATGCCAATCTGGCTTCATCAGAAGATCGAAGCCAGCTTGTTTCCACAGGGAAACAACTGATGGGAGCTAAGTATAGTTGCCTTGGGGGCGGTGGTTGAATTGTCCTACTGGCTACAATTTCATTGCTCCCTGTCACTTCCCTACCGTTACTCAATTCACTTTAAGTGATTATAAAACTTGTCTTGGCCACCGCAGGGCTTGGGTTTGCCATCCCTGAACTAGATCATACATGAGTATATCCAAGAAAGGGGAAAATATGGGTGTGTGGTAATTTGAATATTAGGTTGGAAATGGAAGGCCTACGAATCAATGAGAGCATTGTCTTCAAATGTACACATGTTCCAGCTATGCATTTTTATGTTGACAAGGAGAGGAGACTGAAGGTTGAGAAAGCGCTTTCTTAAGATGCAGAAACTTGAGCTAATTTGCAGCTGAGGGTAACAAATCAATGAAGAGGCAATGAAACATCATCTTATTGTCAGGATTGTTGCTTTAGAAAGTGAGGATCTGAAAGCACACTAACTTGACAAACAACAAGTTTTCCACTCACCTTTCCCTGGGTAGTGGAACAGAGCAGCCCAGTGTCTTTGCTGGGGAAGAGGCAGTCGAACCCCTTCCTGTGGAGAATCAAGGCCGCCTCGTCGGAATACTTGTCGTCTTTCTGCAAATGAGCGGATACCAACATGCCACAGTGACATTAAAGCAAATACCGTCACTACTGCGCACTTCACTGTCTTGATGTCAGCATCCCCAAAGTGCAAAGGCTCATTTTCTTTAGAGCCGAAGCCAGGCAAGCGCATTTCCCCCAGGTTCCCCGCGCCTGGAGCCTGCCCCCTTCTCCCCCGCGCCCCCCAGCAGGCAGCGCTGTCGCACCCCAGGCTCCTTACTAAGTCATTTCATGCCTCGGGTTCCTCGGTCCTCGAGGGCTTGGTTTTCCTTTTGGCCACATATTACATACTGTGTTGTCAATTTTCTTAAACCAAAGCATTTCATTTTCACTTACTTTTAACGTGTACCTCAGGTGAATAAAGTTCACAATGGTCCTCACTCGGGGATAAGATTTTTGAATGTGTACCTGAAGTCAGTCCTTTATCTGGTCACTGAATGATGATGTACCCTCCATCTTAAAACTGAAATATGCTTCTGTAGTGAATACTAACTTTTGCCAATTGCATTAACATTTTTAATCTTTAAAATATTGGTTCATTATTTTTATATAAAAGACATTTGAATTAGTTATGCTTATCACTTGCTAGGCCAACCACATTTATTAGCTTGATGTGTCATTTAAATCCACATTACAGAAGCTATTCTTCCTGTGCAGGTAAAAAGAAAAATACTAAACATGGCACGTCAACCACAGGGCTCAGTACAGGCATACTTTGTTTCATCACGCTTTACTTGACTGTGCTTCGCAGATACCGTTTTTTACAAATTGAAGGTCTGTGGCTACTCTGCGTCAAGTGAGTCAATTGATGTCATTTTCCGACAGCCTTTGCTCACTTCGTGTCTTTGTGTCACATTTTGGTAATCCTCACAATATTTCAAACTTTTTCATTCTCATATTTGCTGCGGTAATCTGTGATCGGTGATCTTTGATGTTATTAGGGGGCAAGATCCTCCACCAACAGAAAGATTATGACTCACTGAAGGGTCAGATATTGGTTAGCATTGTTTTAGTGATAAAGTATTTTTTAATTAAGCTTTGTGCATTTTTTTTTTAGAAATAAGCTACTGCACATTTAATAGGCTACAGTATAGTACAAGCATAATTTTTGTATGCACTGGGAAACCAAAAATTCACGATTTGCTTTATTGTGATAGTCACTTCATTGTGGTGGCCTGCAACCAAACCTCCGAGGTATGCCTGTATTACAGTAAAATTACACTTCTTGCAGTAAAATTTCTTGCATCCATTTAAGTAATAATGCCACGAGCAGTTCAGGTCTTTGAATATTTTAAATTACAATTATCGTAATAAATTTTATGCTTCCTAAAATGGGAACATGCCTATGATAATAAGCAAAATGAATTAAAACTCGTTGGAAAAATGAAAGAAATGTGCAGTTATTCTCAAGTAGAGTCATGTGCTTCCTAGCTCTGACACTGGGATGAAGATGATCCCTTTTCTCTTCTGTAGCCACAGACACATATATGCCCAAGTTCTTGATGATCCTCACAAGGGGCTAAGATTTTTTAATGTGCTATAGAGACATTTTTCTGACTAGCTGCCAGCATTCCTACCACTGATTTGATTTTAATGTGCCTGAACAATTTAAAGCTGTCCTCACCACAGATTCTTGGCTGGAATAACCTGTTTTATAATATTTCACACTGGTATTTTGTAGTGGTACTGCTAAGATTTTGTTTGAAGGGAGACAAAAAGTCATTTAAGGAATTCTGAGTCATTGCAGGACCACATGCTACATATAGGAAGTTTAAATCAAGATTCCTAATAAAATTTCTATAAATTTCATAGTCTCAAAATAGCACGAAAACAGCACATATGAAAACCCATCATTTATAATAATTATAAGAGCTCCAGGAGAGTAACAAAGAGAACTCTGGCACATGCCAGTTGTGAAACCTTGGAATGGTCATTCAATCTTCCTAAGCATCAGTTTCCTCATCTCCAGTAAAATGGATCTCACGCATGTCTCCCTCCTTCATGGAGTCACAGTGTGGGTTAACCCGCTGAAAATACCATGTAGCCATACTGTGTGCTCCAGGAGAAGAAAAGATTTTAAAAGACCTGTTTTTACATTCATTAACATATAAGTAATATCTGGACCTCAGAAAAGAAGGGGAGAGTATGGAAAAGAAAATCCACAAATTTTCAAACTGCGCATGGCACTGTGCTAGGTGAGCTACAAACTAAATGTCTTTGTAAAATAGTTCAGATCACAACTGCAGCTGGCTCCCTACCAGAAGGCTTGATGTTCCAGTCCCACAGGGAAAATCCATTACAGAGCTTATTTCAGGGGATAAACCAACATGAAGCTCCAAGACTAAGCGGGCCTGTGAGGCTTCTCCAGCACCTGGGTGGAGTGTGGGGGATGGGGGTCTACTTGCAGAACAAAGTCATCAGGCTGAGAGAAAGCTGGACCAAAGGCAAAGGCTGGTTCCACCACGAATCAGTTAGGTGACTCTGCATATATTATTTAACCTCTGAAAATTCCAGGAACTAGGTAAGACTTGTGAACAGCCCTTTGAGGATCGAGGGCCAACCACAGTGACAGTAACAGTGACTGCAGCTAACACTTACTGAGCACCTGCTGTGTGCCAGACTCTGTGTAGAATGCCTTTCATGTATTAACTCATTTCATCTCACAACAACCTCTGAAGCAGTTGAGGTGGTATACAAGTTTGTATTACTATATTTCAATGTACAGGAACATCCCTATCACAGAGCATTCTCTCTCATATTTAGAAAGCAATTATCTCTAATGACTCTACATTGGCCCTTCACGATATTTTCCCATATATGGTTGGTGGGTGTATCCTTCCATGGGACAAGAGAAATAAATAAGGCAGCATATTCCCCAACAGTTTCTACAATATCTTGCCCCTTTAGTCCCCATGCAAGAGGCAGTATAAAGTTCTGGGTAGGGACCTGGAGTCAGAGACATGGAGCTGTGCCTCCCAGCACCACCATTTACTGGTAGTGACCTCGAAAAGTTACCTACCATCTCTAGGCCAGTCAGTTTCTTCTCCTATAAGACGTGGTACACTGTTGTTGTGAGAGCTAAATAACACACATGTAAAGCAGTCAGCCTAATGCCTGGCATAGAGACAATGTTAGGTATGTTGTTTTGAAAAATCTGAGAATTATTAATAAAGTATATAAGGAATACAAGTCAAACAGCATCAAGATTTACTTTGGCAATAAACTTCAACTTACTCTAATTTATAAAAAATGTGCCGGTATTGTTACTTCATTATTCGTAACAATCACAACTGCTCGTGTAACTATCACAATTGAGAACCTTTATTTGCTGAGCACTCAGTGCTTCCCCCCTGCCTGCTGCGGTTCTACATGCTTTACAAACATCACTTCATTTAATCCTCAGAGCATCTCTAAGGCGGGCTCTGTATTGCCACGCTATGAACGAGAAAACTGGGATTCAGAGAATTAAGTGACTTGCTCTATGTCACCCAGACGGCAAGTGGAGGGGGTGCACTCAAACCCAGCAGTCTGACTCCAAAGTGTGTGCTTCTAACAGCTTCATTCTCCTGCCTCTGCTTCAGCTATGAATCGGTGCTCACAGGAGGGGAAAAAGGAGGACCATTTTTGACATAACATAATGAAAGGCTATAAACTAAAGATCACCCTCTGCTTTGAGGCTGCTAACAGGGAAGATTTAATCAATAGACCCAGCAGAGTAAAACCATGATTTATCAAAAAATATATCAATTCAGAAAGCAAACTTTAGAAACTGTGATTTCTAACCACCCACAACCTACCCATCCATCCGTCCTATTTTAAACAGAATTTAAGGTCATTCTGAAAATTACACATTCATTTGACAGTCTTTCCTAAGAATATAGGCAAATACTCCTTTACTAAGGTGAACGAGGGATCCAAATGTAGAGTTACACTACTTCTGGCTCCCACCAGAAGAAACTTAATTTGCTTATTAGTAACGTGAGGCTCACAAATCAGTGAACTCCTGAAAATGCCAGTAAATGTATGTGCACACTTTTTTTTTTTCTGAGGATGAGAGGGGCAATAAATTTGACCCATTCCCCGAGAGGAACGTGACCCCACCCTCCTCACAGGATGTGGAAGGCGTATATAGACGAAGGCATGTCTAAACACCTGGTGGAGAAATTTCTCCAGCCCACTCAGATGCTTTGAAAATGTCTAACAACACTCATATTTCAGTGCATTCTGACAGCTAGAGAGGTTAGAAAATTGCACACTGCGTTATAAGTCCTGAGACAGGAAATAACCAGTAGAAATTCATTTTCCAGGGTACTCATTAAAACGTCCAATAACAGTTATCTTGTTTGATCAACAAGATAACATGACAGAAAAAGGAAGGTGAATGGTAGTTCTTAGATATGTACAACAAAGAGATTCCCCCCCCCATAATTTTCACCTTTCCAGGAGCCAGGGAGATCAATAAAGTACCAATCAACACTTATAAGAAAAGCAAAATAAAGTAAAAACTTACAACTGCCTCTTATAAGAAGGAGGTGGTGTAAATAAGTCAGGAGAGACAATCTTATTCAATGGGTGGTCCTGATGTTGAAATGATTGGTTAACCATTTGCAAGAAACAGTTAAGCACAAATCAAAAGAAATTCCACAGAGAACAGAGTTAAACATATAGATATATATAAAGGTATAGACATAAATATATACATATATAAATAAAAATACAGCTGAACATAAAAGCAGTGGAAATAATCCACTTTTAAGCTAATAAAAACAATAGTTGAATCACATATCGTCGTTCGAGGCAGACCGGTTCTGTGAGGTCCAGCTCAACAGCTCTGCCAGCTCTTTCTAGTCCCAGGAATGTCAGCATTCCAAGCTGCACCTGTAATTCTAGCCTAAAGAATCTTGACCCGTGACCCTTCCTCCCATGAGATTTTTCCAGCATCTTCTGTACCAAGACTTCTTTCTCCCTTAATCGTTACCCTTTCCTGATGACATGGCTTTCCTGTTTAGTGCACTTGAGTGGTGCTCCTGTTTCCCAGTTTTCAGACTTTTACAGAAACTTCCTTTTTTAATATCTCAAGCTCCTGATAGGGCAAGAGAAGGCAGTGATAAAGAGAAGAGAGCTGGAGGTCTGGCCTACTGGATGAGAAGACTAATAGTTAAATTTTCAAACAGTGGCTAGAACATGCTGGACACACAGCATGCTGTGAGGCAGGATGTCAAGGGATGACCTTCCCTTCTTCATCTGACTACACATACATGACATATAATGAGTTTTTTCTAAAAAGATACATAAATTAGAAAAGATAGGCTTATATAAAACCATAAACTTATTGCCAATATGGAACAATTCCTGAAAAACTAGACTTTGAGGAAGAGATTTAGTAACTTTAAAAAAAAGTCAAATATTACCCTCTGGGGCAACATACAGCACTCAGATTCAGGCCAGGGGGGTGGGTCCTCATTCTACCATTTATTGCAGGGTAGTTTTATTTTAATCATTTTATCATTAATCATTTAATATCTCTAGCCCTTAGTTTCCCAATCTGAGAGTTTTAAAGAATTAGTAAGTCCTGCCCAGCCGGGCATGGGTTAAGCGTCGACCTAGGATCCAGGCGATCAGGGTTTGATTCTCGGTCAGGGCACATGCCCAAGTTTCAGGCTGCAGCCGATCAATGACTCTGTCATCATTGATGTTTCTAGCTCTCTCTGTCCCTCTCCTTTCCTCTCTCTGAAATCAATAAAGATATATTTAAAAAAAAAAAAAAAAAAAAGAATTACTAAGTCCTAAGCTCTCCAGACCTACACAATCAGAATCTCAGAGATGGAGAAATTTGTAAAAGTCTCTTTTTCTAAAATTTCCCTGGTGTGATCTGGACACACCAACTCTGAGGACTGGTAGTTGAAGCTGAACCACCTCAGTGAGTTAGCACACCTGCAGCCCCCACTACGCCTGACTGTTGCTCGAGCCCGTAACTCCTTTCTCCATGAAAATAAGGGAGACCAACTGAGGTGCAGAACTGAAGAACCTTTAGACAGTAGCCGAGGGGATGGGGAAGCAGGTATGTCTTCATCATGCTGCTGCTGAAGGAGGTCAGGGAGGAAGAGAGATGTGCCCTTATCAATCCAAGGTGGTCCTCAGATGGATTTACTGTGGAAATGCTATGAGGTGGTGGTAAAGAAAATACTTACTCAGATACAAGCCATGTAGAACTCTGATCCTGCTTGGAACCCAACCTGTAGGCTGACCTTATATAATCGATCTTGAACAACATGGGTCTGAACTGCATGGGTTCACTTACATACAGATTTTTTTCAATTAACCCTCTCAGCCTGATTCACTTGCATAGTTCACACCTGCACTGTTCAAGGATCAACTGGCAGTTGGGAATCCGCATATGTGGAGGGCCAATTTAGGTTACACACGGATTTTTTACTTCATGGGCGGTTGGCATACCTAACCTCTGCATTGTTCAAAGATCAATCTTATTTGTATTTCAGTAGGAAAAATGCATTGTAATCTCCAAATGAACAACTCATTATTACACGTTTGGAGCTGACAGCACACAAAAACAGGAACACCATCCCAAATGTATAGGTCAGGCTTCTGAATTTATTGAGCCATTTGTATTTTTCTTTTAGTATAACCATGGAATTACCTTTGACATATTTTAGGTACCAAGCTTTCTTCAAATCAGTACTTACTATGAGCTTTCTTCAATGATTATGTTCCCACTATCAGGGGTTAGGGGACAGAGAACAATTCTTTAAAGAAGTGATTTTGAATGGACCAATCAATCTCCTCGGATTACTGGAGAGCTTAAACAACCATTAGAAATATTTGCTAAGAGTCAAAGGCTAATATAAAAACTGGCAACAATTAGTATGATAGTGCAAAACACTCCCAAGTACTTGGCTCTGGTCATGTGCCAGCACAGCAGTTATCACTAGGCTTTTACATTTCAGTCTTTATTCTTCTGGTCAAACAGCTACACTGTAAACTGCTTTCTATTCCCTCTGCTAAAACCCTAGTTTGCACCTGAGTTGGCACATGCTGTAGCATCACCAGGATAACATCGTATGTTTACAAAGCACTTCTGCTTCTGAAAGGCTTTTCACAGCATTATTTCATTTGTTTCTCACAAAAGAAATGAAGCAGGCATATCTGATGTGGACCCCATTTTATAAATGGTGGCTGAGTAAGCGGTCACTCAGCCAGCAGGTAGTGAAGGGGGCACACCTGTCCAAAGGCGAGAAGAGCAATGGGCAGCCGGGTGGCGAGTGAGTGGAGGCCAGACTGCAGAGGGCCTGAATGCTCAAGGGTTGAGACAATTTGGTAGGCAATGAGGTTTCTCATCTTAGATTTGTAAGACAGGAAGGTAGCCAACAGCAGGAAGAATAAAGGAGCAGGTGATCACTAAAAAGAGGTGATCTGGAAAACAAAGGCCAGCCTTGGACTGTACAGGGTAATCTACTCATTCTAGTCAGCTGGAGTTGCTTCCAAAAACAATCATCGTCAAACCATTTTGGGAAGGAGTCCTCTAGTAGCAAGAAAAAGTAGCCACGCTGTGGCCCGGAAGTCCTCGGGCCCCTCAGGCTGGTAACGTCGTCTACCATCTATGCTCAGCGGTGGCAATGGGAGGCTCTGGGCTCCGTCCTTTTATTCCCATTAGTGCGTGAATGAATGACAGGTTACCTCAGGGAAACTATCCATCTCTGATGTGTTCTTTCCATGAGTCAAAAAGTAGACCCACAAGAACTACAGCAGAATCCCGGAAAGAACACTCACAAGAGTCACACGTTCAACAGACGGTTACTGAGCCCCTATTCGCGCAGGCACCGTCCCAGGCCCGAGGACACGGTGAGGAATCGAAGGGCCCCGCCCCCCGGAGCTCCCACTCTGACCGCACCGTCGGCTTTCCGGCCTCCACGCCTGTCCCTAGCTCGGCCGGGCCACGCTACCCTCGTAACTCTGCGCCGAGTCTCCTGTCCCCTGACCTCCTTCGTAGTTTTTCTCATTATCACGGTTTCTGAGGCCCTCTCCAGCCACCCTATTCAAACTTGCATTGCCTTCTCGAATTGCCATCCCTTCCTTTTTCCCTCCATAACCCTATCACCATTGAACATATTACATGTTTCTCTTATTTTTTCTTCCTTATTTTTCCCCTCCCACTAGAATCTAAGCTCCAGAAAGGCAGGAGCTCTTGACTATGTCCCTAGTGCCTTTCGCAGCAACTGGTACCTGGCAGGCATGAAGTAAAGCCTGCACGTTCACTCACTCAAACAGCCCGTGACACGTAAAGATAGGCAGGCACACAGGCCTCTGGCATTCACTTGTATTCATTATTACAAGCCATGTATATTTTCCTATATAGTCTGGCATAAGTTCTTTATCTTGGACATATAATTTTAGAAGCTCTAATTGTCCAAATTTGTAGGCATTTATCCTTACTTTATTTGGTTTACTTTAGTGGTTTGTTCTTAAACTAAACATTTTTCACCTCTTACATTGTCTTCGAACATGAACATTCTCTTCTTTTCATATTTATTATATTTCCCACAGAATCCATAACCACTTACTATTTCCAGCTGGATGTGTATATCAACTCACAATATCAGAACAGCTCCATAAACCATAAAAATGATGTTAAGTATCTAATCTTTATTCTTTTCAAATGCAATTTCTGACTTTAACAGTAGGCATATATGTACACTATGGCAGTCTAACTGAATAAAATTCCATACCTAATAAAATCTGCCCTTGCTTTTTCTTTAGTATATTTTTCTACTTCTCTTAAATAGTTGGTTTCTCAATGCAAAGGTTTGGGTTGCAGTGATTTTCAGGAGAAAGATACAAACATACAAAGCCTCTGATACAGAAATAATTAAATGCTATGCTCTCTACTTCTCGAACTCCCAGAAAGACTGGCTGACAAGGAGAAATGAATGGAAAATGCCAGGACAGCCAATCTTAAGGCCTGGTTCTACCACCTACAAATTATGTGACCTCAGGACAGCTTTAGTTTCCTATCCAGAAAAGGAAGAAAGATGTTATTCCCTGACCTACTCACCACATACAACTTTTCTGAAAAGAAAATAAATTAGTATTGGGGAATGCTTTAAACTGTAGAGCAGCGATTTTCAGCCTTTTTCATCTCATGGCACATATTTTTCATCTCATGGCACATATGAACTTACTAAAATTCTTCGGCACACAAAAAAATGTTATCCTTTTTGCCAATCTGACCCAAAAAAATAGGTATAATTTTGATTCATTCCCACCAGATGGCTATTGTGTTGGCTGTTGTCATTTTTTATGTGACAATCTAAGGGAAAGGAGGTTAGTGCTCCTGACTAAATAATCAGGTATTGCATGTTTTAAACATTCCTGCAGCACACTGGTTGACAATCGCTGCTATAGAGCAACACCCAAATGAAAGGCATAATACTTCTGCCTAAAGGTGAAGCCCTCTTAGTCATTTCTTGAAGCACAGTAAAATTTATTTTTTTGTCTTCCCATCCCCTTATATCAGGTATATTACAAAGAATACTTTTTTATAAATAGATTTTGAAATATACCTTTGATTGTATTGTCCTCAGATTAAGCAGATGAATGTCACAAGGCAAAGATGACAGTAACGGGGAGAATTCACCGAGCAGCTGAAGGGTGGGCACGGGCCTCTTTTCTGTCATTGTAAAGACAGGGTGATTCAGGAAAGAAGAAGTTATGTGGCTAAGGAGGGAAGGATAGCTGACTGGCTTTTCTTTTTCCTATCAAGAAAAAAATAAAAATTCTTAAGAGTTACATATTTGCAGTTCTCACGACATTAGCTGAATTACCTAACAGGATTTAAATAGAAAAGAAATATAAAAATATATAAATACTTTTATTTTATCATATTTTATAAATAAGTGTTGTAGAAAATGCATAGCAGATTACCATGTTCAGTTCTAAGCAATGCAAGAAAACAAATAATGCCCACTTACCTTGTTAGAAATCTCTTTTTCCGTTGCTTTAACACTAAAAATCCTGACAACGTTTTCCACAGACATTTTAGGACAAGGTATAACTTTTTACAGAAACTCTTTCTCAACCTACCACAAAACTCAAAGTAGATGGATTGGGATGTTCATGTATCTTGCGCATCATCAAATGTTATCTCCTTCCCTTCAGGTTTTACCCCCCATAGTCTCATGATTTCATTTATACACTTAACTAGGTCAAAAGCCATGTGTTGATCTGAAGCTACGTTTCCTAAATGTTACCCAGTGACAGGATTTAAAAACTCTAAAAATAAAAAAGTTTTTAAATAACACAGGCAGCTTATCTAGATCATCTGTTTTCTTTAAATGGGGTAAATCATTGCCAATTGCTTCATTCTACTTTATTCCCCAAACAGGAACTGTTATGTATGTTATACAATAGTTATCACACATTTATATGACACACAATTATTCAGTATAATTTTAAAATATTTCAGTCTTTGCTATGGTGTATACCAGTAAACAAGCATTTCATCAGCATGTTCTAACATTAAATAAGTCTGCTAGGGCTGGGGACATACATAGGATGGATGGCACACAATGAAATCAATGACTAAGCAGAACCTTAACCAATGATGCCTAAGGTATAAAAGCAGACAGAAAAGCACTAAGGAGAGAAAATAATTTATATAGAAAGGTCTTTTGTTCACCAGTGACATCTGAGGTAAATTTAACTTTGTGTCTTACTGTTTAAAATGGCTATTTCACTGATATCTCCTGATGTTACATCGTTTTTTTCAAATGAAAGGCTTGGCTACTTATCTGTGTGAAAAGATAGGATTTATAGAAGAAACAGAGCTTAAAATTCAGAATGTCAGATTAGCATTGGACAGAGGGTGCTAGTGAAGCGTGACAAACACTGTGTCAGTAGCAAACTGCAGATGTCATTACAACTTAGACCTGGGAGAGAGAAAAAACATGTTTAAAGGCAGCAGAGGGACATGCAGTATTATGATACTGACAAAAAATATGAGGTCTGAAAGAGTTGTAAAGAATGTATCCATTCCACATTTTTTAAAGGAGAGATTAAATAAAGCATATAAAATAATATTCTCCAATGATACTGAAATTTAATGCAGCTTGTAGAAGAACATAAATAGAGAGGGAACATTTTCAATAAGACACTTTAAATGTACTCCATGATCAAAGAACTTTGTAGTCCAGGTCAGGATTGCTGACAAAATCACTTTTGAGTAATAGAGATAAAAGATTCTGACAGAAAGGAAAACACCTGCCTTATCAGATTCGGGAGACATTAAGTCCATTCTAGGTCTGGAAACATTCAGAAAAAGCTCTCTGGCTTTGTTCTATGCTCTTGGAAAAATCCCTGGACCCTGTAGTGATGTGATGTACTTCTGGATGGATTATCTGTATCTTAGAAGCAGTAATGTGCATATTTACCTTTCCTCCAAACCCAAATCAGTTCACTTAACCCTCAGCGCTTCCCCCAAATTAATCATACATCAGAATGACTTGAGAGCTTTTAAAACTCATAAATTCTGCCCGGCTGGCATGGCTCGTGGTTAAGTGTTGACCTATGGACCAGGAGGCCACAGTTCGATTCCCAATCAGGGCACATGCCCGGGTTGCGGGCTCGATCCCCAGTGGGGGGTGAGGGGGAGGCAGCCGATCAATGACCACTGACTCTCATCACTGATGTTTCTATCTCTCTCCTCCCTTCCTCTCTAAAATCAATAAAAACATATTAAAAAAATAAAAATAAAAAGCAGAGATCCCTAGGCAGGGGTGGGTCCCTGGAAAGGCGAAGCTTAAATGCCACTCCCTTCCAGGTGAATCTCATGTAGCCAGTCCCACACTGCCCTGTGGACCTGTGCTGAGAACTGCCACCCCAGACACCCTCCCAACTTTCTAGAAGAAACTAAATGCCCTTTGGAATCAAAAGTATAAGCCTTACCCTTTTAACTAGTTTTGCATTAAAAAACTCCCACAGGATTCAGACACAAAAACATGTTCATGAAAAGTCTTGTTTAAGGAAACAATGTGATGAATATAAGGACCCTGAGAATTCAAGAACTGTCCTATTTACAGGCCTAAGCAAGATAAGGAAGGGAAGTTTATAGAAGAGTGGGGGTCAGTTCCTGAAGAGCACCATGAACAATAAAACGGTGGGAAGCTGGCCAGGTGGGGCCCTCTCACAGAAGGCTCCACCATCCACACTCTCTTAACATATTTACAGCAATAGGGGGCTCAACAAGATATTTAACTGTTGAACTACCATTATTTTGATGAGTCTCCTAGACAAGTAATCTTTTCACTGTAACCCTTATGATAAACCCAAAGTAAACATGTTTAAGTGTTCGAGCTATAAATGAATTCCCCAGCCTTGTTTGTAGCAACTAATATACTGCTATAAACATTATTTGGTTTCTTGTTGGTTGGAAGGATTCAGACTATACAAGTCTAGTTTTCTCCTTGCAGCATGCGTGAAATTAAAATAGTTTGAAGCACATTCTGATCCAAATTACACCAAGTTGAGATCATCTCCATTGCATTCCATCTCCATTGCATTCAGAAGTCAAACTTCTTGCCGGGCTCCTTGGTGCCCTTCATTAAGCTCAATAAGGTTATCTGGCCCCTAAATACCAAAGGTTTCCATTTCACTGACATCAAAACTTACTGTTCTATAAGACAGTAAGAGAGTTTCTTAGTCACTTTTGTTTATTCAGTATGCCCCGACATGGGGAGAACTTGATAAAGCCTGTTGAACTTCATCTATTAATTTAATAAGCAAATGCAGTATAAATAAAAGAGAGAAAACTACTGTGGGGAGGGGGAGATGAGTGGAGTAAAGCGCCAGAGGGAAAAAGGGTGAAAATGCGCTGCACCTGAGGACTTGGAGGCACAATCACAGCGCAGAGCTGGACCCCGGCGGTCTGTGGGCCCGCTGTACTTATAGAGATGTTTTGGGAAGGCTGCATGGCATTAAAAAGTTGTCTGTTTTCAGGCAACTCTCAATAATAGAAAAAAAAAAAAAATCCAGGAGATTTCGCATTAAAAGCATCCACAATGACAACAACAAAACTCCTCCAAACTGTTAACTGTTTTAACCCAAAACACTGGGAATTCAAGTCACGCTGGGTCCTTCACATTCCCACGTGGAAACCATCAGCTGGCGCCGAGCTGTGCTTTCTAGGTGGGCTACGGTTATCGTCAGTCACCACAGGTCCTCTGGTCGCCTAACTGAAGCACCTGCCCTGCACAGCCTCCCTCAGGCTAGCTCTCTCCTGAGCCCCGTGAGCACTTGAGGTTTTCATGGTCTCTCCTAACTTCCTGTCCTTATGTGTAAAGAACTGGTATCCGAGGTAAAATGACACAACTGCAACGCTCAAACGCTCCAGTGTTTCTAAGTCCAGCTCAAGGCCCCCTTCACTATACCAGTCGCCAGCGGGACAATGGTGAGAGCAAGAGTCAAGGGAAAAAATCAAGGGTCAATGCCAAAGAGACAATTCTTGTTTCATTTCTGTTGACCACTCCGAGTATCATTACCATGGGTGACGGTAAACCTCGCGTAGCCAACGTCCTCTGCTGGGCACCTGCACATCGCTCCAGGCCTCATTCTCACAGGACACTGGAGAGCAGGACTCACTTCTATTTAGTCACCCAGGATTACTCCAGTGAGGCTCCGACAGGCTCAGGCTTCCCATTAAAATACCCTCCTGCCCAGAGTGTCTCTCCACCTCAGTTTTTACCATCAATATTTTAGACTTTAAAGCCTTAGTTGACAATTAAAACACTTCTAGAAAATTTAAGTTACATTATATGTAACTTTTCTTTATCAAATGTCTTTTTAATCAATTTCAGTAGAAATTAAAATGTATCTTCTCTTCTCTAGGTCATTTTTTATTTAAAAGAAACTATTGATTTAAACCCAAGAATCTATAGCTGAGCAAAAGAAAAATTTAACCAACATAGGATTATAAAAACATTGGATCAAGTTTAAATCAATTAGTCTCTAAGGAGTTTTGAATGGGAATAAACAAGTTATTTAACTTCTAAGTGAAAGCTTTATAGATCTGACATGAAAATTCTTATTGCCATAGTTAACAGTTTTGCAAATTAGTGTCTATGTAGAAAGAAAAATGATAAAAGCCAGAAACATTTTCAGGAGAAAAAAAAGACAGTAGCTGCCAGCACTCCAACCGATTTCCTATGCAGTTTTAGTCCTAAAACTAAGCTACCTTGTCAGTAATTGATTTAAACCACAAGTCCCAAGAACTGGTATAAATCTTGACATCTAAAATGGATATTAAAATCTTTTTCCTGAAAAATTCTAGGTATTGAAAGAATTCTTTGCTTTAATTAGCTGTTGTCATTTCATTCATTCAACTAGTATTTTACTGATAGAATGTTTACCACAGGCAAAGAGGCCCTGTGGGGCACAAGAAAATGCAACAGACAAGCCCCTGGAATCTAGAACAGGGAACAGAACATGCCTACAATGACAGGAAGTAGCAGTAACTGCGATAAGCACAGTGGCGCAGTGTGTTACCACAGCTCACTCATTTATACATCTAGATATTCATTCATACAACACATACTGGGACATGTCCTCTGCTGGGAACAGCCTAGAAAAAGAGAGAGACACAGCCACTACTTTCAGGGAGTTTACTGTCCAAAGGAAAAGGAAGACAGTGATCCAATAATGACATACGCACATGAAGGAGACATGCCCAGGTCTGAGGGAGCAGAGAAGGGGATCTGACCTGCTCGTGCAGAAGCAGCTGATGGAGTGAGCCCCGTGAACTAGAACCGAGAGTCCCCGGGGAAAGGGGATGAAGGGAGCGCAGAGGTGTTGTGGGGCAGGGTGCATGGGAAGTACGCAGGGCCAAAAGGAAGCCCGCGGGCCAGAGCGGAAGCAGCGAGTCATGCTACACGAGGACGGGCGGCAGGCAGCGTCCAGACATGGGGGCTCTGTGGGCTGTGGTCAGGTTTTGGCTTTTATACTGAGAGCAGTGAGAAGACATCAGAGGGATTAGGCGGGGGCAATGAGGTTAGACCGGTTCATGCCCAGCAGAGCTTTGGCCAGACACGGGATGCTGGATTTCTGCTTTGAAGAATGAAAACTGAACAAGAAGACAGACAAGTAAATCCATTTTCAATTGATGAGTCTAAGACTAAAATAAGTACACTAAGGTTTCCAATCCATTTTACTAATCAAACTTAATCTCCTAAATATGTTATATAACCTCTATTCTTTAACTCAACTCTTTCAAAATAATTTCAGGAAATTTCACCCAAACTGATCTCTTAACCTCACTGTATACCTACATAATAAGAAAAAAATTAAAATGACCTAAACGCAAATCTTACAGTGTGTGTGTGCGCGCACGCTCAAAACTGAAGTTCTCTTTCTTGTGAATATAGGCTAAATCTGTTATAAACATATCTCTACACTGAAAATTGTAAAAAATAAAACAGTAGACAATCATAATTTTAAATTGTGTGTGACAAGTTCTTTTTTTCCTACCATATTCACGACAGGTCTTTTTTCTAGTAGTATTCGAAATAAACTAGCTGTAATCTTGTTGTCATAGACACCTTGCTCAAGGCCACGATTATCATCTTGTATGAGTCTTCGATCCATGATAACTTCAATCTGACCTATGAAACAAACAAATAAACTCACCAGGGTTATTTACGACAAACATCCAATGAGGATCATGTAAATACAGGCACAGTCTTGATTTGAGTTTCTCTTCTAGTCAAGGAGACAGACCTATAAGACCCACCGTACCATGGGCTTTTTCTCGGTAATAGCTTAAGGTAGCCAGTATAAATTCATAAAACATGATTACATTTCTACTTTTCTTCATTAATGTCTAGTAAAATCTGATAAGAAATTTAAAAACAGATGAAAATTAAAACTTTTCAAAAAGAATTAATCTAAAATCCAAAAATTAAAGAGTAAATTAAGCCTCTAACATTTTTGGTGTTAGCATTTGAAACATAAAAATGTTTATGAGGTTCATTACAAAATGCATAGCACACAGGAAGTAATAAAACAAATACAGAGGGTAGGCTCTAACTAGGACTTGAAATGTGGGTTAGGTTACTTGATATGCGGTGATCTCTGAAGAAGCCCTGGGATTAGGTAACTCCTACCATAAATCCCCTTCCCTCCCTGAGATTGTTAGTGGCTTCACCACTGTCCTGTCCCCTCTAGCTCCAATAGGGGTAACATGTAGTTCCTTCATTTGCTGTGTGGTGATTTCACATCTCCTCTAATTTAAATTATAAGCTAATGGTTAGGATACAAAATTACAAACTTAAAAAAAATAAACAAAAAAGAAAATCCAGTCATATTTATACATTTGAGATTATACTAAATAAAACCCTAAAGTTATATATATATATATATATATATATATATGGATCAAAGTACATATATTTTTTATATATATATATATATATGTACTTTGATCCATCCATTCATTCATATTTGTTATTATTAAGTGATCATTCAGCCTAAAAGAGCAATACATAAAATACTTTCATAACTATTACTCTTACATAGTGAAACCAACTCTTTGGTTTCTTTCTTAGTTTAGGTATCCAGTACATGAAATGACCAGGAATGGTTAGACTTTTTGTTGTTACTACCTCCATATTTTAGACAACTGTCTAGAAGTTGCTTCTTGGGTACTGGGACTAATTGTTTCATACCTATGAGGACAATTAGTTTGATCACTTTATATCCAAATTAGTGCATCAGTCTCTTGGCAATTACTAACTCTTCTCCCTGCCTCGAAATGTTAGGCCATTTAATAAGTGACACTAATCATTTTCTGGACTGTACTCAAAGTGTTTTTATGCCTGTAGCTATTCAAACACTAGGGTATTTGGTGTCTACGGCAGGGGCAGAGGAGCTTTATTTCTCAGCTCATGTTTATCAGGGAAGTGAGAGAAGACTGTTTGGTTTATGACTGCTTGAGTGCTAATGACTCATCCCTTATTTAGAGCCCACCTTTGAGAATTTAAGGCCGGATTTAAAAATGAGTGGGTTAAAAGTCACATCTGACACAAGAATGTTTTATATTCTGATATTGAAAAAATCAGAATCAACATTTATAGATTGGGCAATCTCACATAAAATTCCAGATTTCTGGGCTCTTCAAAAACTGAAACATTTGGCAACACTGGGCCCCTTTCCCCATGGAGGCAATGTACTGGCACTATGCAGTGGCCGCCCCACTGTACACGGGGAACGCACTCTCCAGTTTGCTCAAGTCCCATCATCCTGACTGAGTCCCTGACATGAGGCCGTTGTTATTTTTTATAAATGCATTCGTGTCTTTATAGCATGATTTCATTGTTTTGTTTAATAAAGGCTACAAAGAAAAATGAGTAGTAGTATTTGTGTGTGTGTGTGTATAGAATGTATGCACAGGTCTAATATAAAAAGTGGGTTTTCCCAGCCAGGCGTGGCTCAGCCGTGAGCATCGACCTCTGATCCAGGAGATCATGTTTCGATTCCCGGTCAGGGCACATGCCCGGGTTGCGGGCTCAATCCCCAGTCGGGGGTGTGCAGGAGGCAGCTGATCAATGATGACTCTCATCATTGATGTTTCTATCTCTCTCTAACCCTCCCTTCCTCTCTCCGAAATCAATAAAGATATATATATATATACACACACACACACACACACATATTAAAAGAAGTGGGTTCGTGTCAAAGGATATGCCAAGCATCTATACTCATTTCTTTGCCTGGCTCCTTAAGACACTTATCTTAGCAACTCTTTGCATGTAATGAAGGAAGAGCAATTAAAGACAAATGATAATTAAATGTAAATGATAATTAAAAATATGTATCACAAAAGACAAAAGCCTTTCAATAGAAACCTTTTCAAAAATTCATCAGTATCTACTACCTATTTTCTTTCTCCATCTCATTCTCTCCTTTGAAATCCTTCAAATCATGTCTATCACCTCTTCCCCCCCCATCTGTACCATCTCCACTCCCTTTCTCCGTTTGGGCGGTGGTGCAGAAGAATGTGATTTAGAGAAGGACCTAAGTTTGAATTGTAACTTCCCACCTTTGGAAACTGAAGCAAGTTATCTAAACTTTCTGGAGTCTTGAATTTCTGCATCTATTTCATCAGAACAATAGCCCGTTCTGCAAACAATGGGCTATGAGGAGAGGTAAATTATTTAAAAAAACAATCAGTTTCACAGAATTTTAGTTTTCAGTTCTTCATCTAGGATTGAAGAAATCCATCATTTTATGTTGTTCTCACAAAACCCCAAATAAACTAATAGTCTGGTTCTCAAAAGAAAGCTGGTGACTGGAGATGATAATTAATACATGTGACCAAAAAAAAAAAAAAATCATATACTTGGAACTGAAACTTAAAAGAGCAAAAAAAGAATCTAAACAATACATACCACTTTCCAAACTTGATACACCTAAAGACTGGGCAGAGAGCAGGGTCAAGCGGTGCTGGGCATCCTGGATATACGCCATTGTGGTCATTGGATACACATTTGCTTGAAGGGGCAACTTGCTCATTGTCATTCTAGGTTGAATCTATATGACCATACAATTCTCTTTATTTAAAAAAATCGAGTGATATTTACATATGTACTTTAAAAAGTTAGTATTAACCACAGATGACTTTTCTTCCAAAGAGAAAAAGGAACAGCTTCCTTTTTTGTTCAAGGTTAGAGCTAATTTAAAACTTGAAACATTCTTCAAAACAATATAAAAAAATCACGAAGAGCCCAGAAAACAATTTTTAAGAGCTAGAACTTGTCCAGATTTTTTAAATAGGCAATCCTATTTAAATTCAGAATCAATATCCTTAACAAAAGTCTTCTAGCTCTCCAGTATTTGCATAAAAAAATTATAAAGGTATTAAGTATTCATTTCTCATCTAAATCTAACATACTGCTTTTGTAATGAATGCTAAGCGTAATAGCTCTTTATCCCCTTTCAAGAAGTATCTCATAATTCTTCTTCTAAAATCAGTTTTGATAAATACCCCAGATCTCCCCATCAAATCCCTAACATATTACATTATAATAATCAAATGCATATTTATGTTTATAAACTATTCAATGCTTATTCTTCTTGTTTCGTTTCAATGTAGATAGTTCCAAATTCCAATTTTTCTTGGTCTAGTATCTCAAGGCATGAAATACAACTCTAACTTTAGTTTTAGAGAGACTGACATTGCACTAAGCTAGTATGCGTCAAGGAGACTCACTCAAATACCAGAAGGAGACATCAAACAGAGACTCTGTTATCAGGAATCTTACCCATGCCACATTAAAATGCCATCTCTTCTTTTAAACTCATAAAAGTTTGACAATGAAACTCAAGTAAAGAATAAGTTAATGTAATAGTTAACTTATGTTAACATAATAGTTAACATAATAGTTAACATAATGGGTACTGAGTACCCATTAACACCAGGCACAGTGCTGGGAATTTCAAAGGTAAGACCTTTAACCTCCAGGACAACTCTGCAGTATGTCTTTCAACTTACTGGTTGTACTGAATACTGTGCCCACAAATTCATGTTTACCCAAAACCTATGAATGTGATTTTACTTTCAAATTGGGTTCTTGCTGATATAATCAAGTTATATTGGATTAGGGTGGGCTCTAATCCAATGATTTGTATCTTTATAAGAGGAGGAAAATCAGGACACATACAGAGACCCAAGGAGACAACATGTGACAGTGGAGCCACAGATTGAAGTGATGAGTCTACAAGGTAAGTAGTACCAAGGGTGCCTGAAACCAACAGAAGCTAGAAGAGGTAAGGAATGCTATTTCCCTAGAGCATCTGCAGGGAGTATGGCCCTGCTGACACCTTAATTTTGGACTTATAGGGTCCAGAACTGTAAGGGAATAAATTCCCGTTATTTTAGGCCACTCAGCTTGCAGTAATTTTTATCACAAACCCAAGAAATTAATAAACTGGTGAAGAAACAACTATAAAATATTTTTAAAATATAAAAAAGAAAAGCTAGCTTGAAAGAATTCTCCATTTCTCCTTCCAATTCTGACCTCCTCATCCCAACGGCCTCGTATACTAATAAAAAGGACATTTAAAACTCACAACTGTGTGGCTGTCACCCTCACTTCCCACCTGAAGGTCTAGATTTCTAGTGTTACCCAAGTACCACTCTTTCCAAAGCTTTAAAAAGGGCCTATTTTAAAAGCAGAAATATTTAGGTTATAGACTTAAAAATAGTATTTTCCTATTTATTCAAATACTCAATCCTTAAAACAAAAATTTACATTTTTATTCATTTTCACTAAATTTTTTTTCATTCATGTACACACCCACACATACAAATAATTGCTTCTGGAAGATTTTAAGAAAAGCCTTTCTTTTGTATTCAAAGAAAATGAATCACCATAAAGTAGGGGCTTCATTTGAAAACCAAACAGCTGTAGTAAAATTAACATGTTGATTCAAAATGTATGTTGCAATTTTTATCCTTTGGAAAAGGTTTAAATTTAACTTTTGCAGGAAATCGTAGAAGAGAAAATAATCACAATTCTGTCCACTCATTCTAGTAGAAAATCAGACAAAGTGAAAGCATTTGTTGTGAAATTATTTCTATTCATAGCCAGAAATTTCTAAAACGCTAATGTGTCAAAAACATGCTAATGTTTTTAATAGTGTTATTTCAAAGATATACTGTCACACACATACACTCTGAATAGAGATTTAGCTAACAATCAAAAAAGCTTTTATTAAATTAGAGAACTGAAAATCTGAAAAATTTTTATGAATCAATTTTCTCATTACTATTTCAAGAAAATTTTCATTAAATACATATCTACTCATATTTCTAAGTAGATATGTTTGTGTTTGTATTTGTATGTCTACATACACATATATATGTGTATAAAGGTACATGTCCAGCCCCAATAAAGATAGGGGAAAAGTTTCCCTGAAACTTAAGAACCAATTATTAGATTATACATTTAAAAATATATATAGGCTAAGCTAAGTATGCATAGGCCAATTCCTTATGAGAAAAAAGATACGATCCCTCAATCCCTATGTTTCCTTTCTATTAGATAAATTCATATATACTTTGGCATCAATGTATTCAACATGCATAATAGTCACCAAATCCTCCTTTGAAAAAAATAAATTCTTATAAATAGATGATCTACAAAATACTCTATCAAATATATAATTTTGGAAATCTGGTTACTATAGAACCTACAAGTGTCTGTTAAAATTCAGTTTTATTTCAGAAATAATTTGAGACCTTAAGCAAAATTAACTGGCCCATATATAAAAGTTATGCACTAGCATGACCATTACTTAAACATTTTAAAGGAAAATTACCTGGTATCCATTTAGGTCCGTATAAAATCTAGTTTTGCTGTTTATGTTAGAAGAAATTCTCATTGCAATCTCATAGTTATATTCTTTTCGGATGTCCACAATATTGGAAATTTCCACAGACTGTCCTTCTATTCCTAAATTTAAAAGAATATATACAATAGAAAGAAATTAACTGCCCAATTTTCTTAAATATACCTTCCAGAACCTCTTCCAAAGTTATATGTATTTTCCTGTTTTCTATCGCCTATCTTTACCATCTCTCATATGCTAAATAGTGTCACAATTTTCACCTTTCCTTTTTTTAATATTGAATGGTAGATTACATTTATTCAGGGGCACATATAACAAAACAAAAGAATGAAGAGGTTTGTGGAGACAGATGTAGATGAAATATAACATCCAAATGATTCTCCCATGAGTTCTAGAGGGAAAGAGGGCATTAAATGAGAAAGGTCAGCCCCGATGCAGGCCAGTGCCCCTCTTGTCTGCACAGCCGTTCCCCAGCAGAGCCACTCAAGCCTACTTCTTCACCATTCTCTCCTTACACACTGGAAATTATGAGCAGTGAAATTTATACTCTTTGTTCAAGAGACTGTGTATTATTGCCCATGATCATATCTAGGGAAAGAGACAGGAGATCCAATGAGTGATTTATGGCTGAAACTGGTATTACCATATTACTACTCTGGAGTATAATCTGGAGAGTTCCCCAGAAGTTAAATCGATTTTAATTGAGTTTGGTATCTCTTAGGAACCCTTGTTATGGAGTGATTCATTGTGCCCCTTGCTATATAAAACAAAGGACAGCTTGAAGAAGTCCCAGATGTGTCAGACATTTTTTTGGATTAAGCTTAAAGTGTTTACTAATTTCTATCATGCTGGACTAACTGCTTTTCAGAAGCTCAGTGAAGCCTTGGGTCTATTTCGGAGATGAAGAGAGGAGTTATGAAGAAACCCAAAATTCTTAATACAGATCAAATGTGTATAAGAGATAGTAAAGGATCTTCAAAGAAGAAAAGTGGTCAAAAGAAGAAGGACCTGCCTTATCTTGTTTCATGCAGCTGAAGTTTTTTGAGATTCCAAGACACTGGCTGGACACATACCTGCAGGTGTTATTCATTACCTACTTCTCCCTACCCCTCACACACAATCTGTCACTCTGCTGGTAACCAGCACTCTTAGACAAAGAAGGCTGTGTAAGAAAAAATGGGGAAGGGAAGAAAGTAAGGAAGACTTTTTCTAGGAGCCAAGAAGAATCCCCAGAACTTACAGAAGGTGACGGGGAAACAGTGTAGGAAAGGAAGTTTGAATCTGTGAGATTTGTGGAAAAGAGTGAAATGCAGCTGGCCCAGACACTATAGATTTATGTGAAAATAAACTGGAAATTATAAAGCATCAGTAATCGTGTGATGACAATACTAAACGGGCTGAGGATCTGCAGAAAGCTCACAGAAGTTCTTTTCTGGTAGATGTCGCTTTTCCAACTCAGTAACCTGAATGAGTGCTAACTTCAGTTCCTTACTATGTTCATGAGGCAGTTGTGAGCACGGTCTGCATGGGTGGGGGAAGGAGTGCCTTTTTTTCCTGCTTTATGGACACAGTATGAAGCACTAACCTCTGCCAGTTAAATACACACATATGAATTTCCTTCTGAGAATTACCAGAAGAACCTGCCAAGAGAGTTGATCCAAATATATCTCCACTACTATTGGGAAGTTCAAATAAATCACATACACTGATGATAGAACAACAGCATCTTCTTTGAACTAGGAAATGTATTACTTTAAATGCAAGTTTTCCTTTCAGTATGCTTAGATTAACCATAATATTGTTCAAAAACAAAATGAATTGTATACTGAATTTTAATAGGCAAGCTTCTACAAATGAACCTAAGATGCTCCAAACACAAAATGTAGCAGTAGGGGGGGGCAGTACTCATGCAGCACCGGGAAAACTGGGGATGAGTAAACTCCAATCTGCTGGAAGCATTTGTAGGGTTTTCAGCACTGCTTTATGCATTCTCCTCTCTAGATTGGGCATTCTCTCAGGGGTGAATGGAATACAAAAAATGAAATAAAGTCTTAACAAAGGAGAGTGTCATTAATTCCAAGTCATGTATCTCTGGAAAACATTTACAGAAAACACACTTCGAAAAAATTAATAATTTCACATTACCTCTAGCAATAATAAATTGTTTCTGTTGAGAAAATCATCTTTCTCAAGCTCAGTATTATGCTCAGATCCTGTTGTGGCAACAAATGCTTAAAGCTCCTTTAAAAGGAGCCTCTATAACCACTCACAGTTCTGCAAAACATTAATTTAAATTCTGTGCCCGAACTGGCTTTGAAAATAAGATCAAACTTCACATACATATATGGACAAATCAAATAAAATCTGTAATAGTAACTAAAGCAGAGATATCCCTGAATTCTTAAAGATAATTTATTATTTTTAAGAAAAGAATGTATGTGAGGGAGAGGAATGCCAACTTTTCTTATTATGTCAAGAATTCCCTCAGGAGTAAGTAGCATGCCATTGCCAAGGCAGCTCAGAGGATGGAGGGGAGAACTCCCAGGGAAGCAGGGGTACCGTCCCAGTGGTTCCAGTGGTCAGGTGGGTCTTTGCCGTATGTGGCGGCAAAAGGTATTTTTACCAAAGTAGTTCTACCTGAGCATGAATGGCTATGGTTTCAATCCTGGGAAAGAAAGTAGCGCCTACTATATAAAAGTAGATTATGGTGGGAGGGCAGCAGGGTGATGCCATTCCTGGGTTTTGACAAAGAAAAATAAGTTCCCTCTTGCTGCTCATGCCTCGGACTATATCTTAGAGAAGAGAGAATGAGGACTGTTAGATTGTTGATCTTTATTAACACAGGCAGTGCAAAGTAAGAAGAGAGCCAGTCCATAGGCGAAAAGCTGTAAGAGAGAAGCCAAAAGCGTCTTTCCTCAACTGTTTTTTTTTCTTCCTCCCTAGAGCCTGTTAGCTTCTCAGAGACACAGAATGTCTTACACACCATCTTTGCATCCCAGTTTTTAACAACGTTTTGGGTATATGGTAGGTGCTGAATGGCTATTAAACAATTAGCTAAGATGTCCCTTGTCATGCAGAAGTTAGCTGACATGGAAAATGAAAAGAATGAGGTGATGGCCAAGAAAGATTTCATGAAAAAAAAACTAATTCAGTGCTTGTAGAGTATGATAAACTTTATGCTGAAAACAGAAACAAACACAGAATTAAATTTTTTACTGGGGGTGTGTGTGTGTGTGTGTGTGTGTGTGTGTGTGTGAGAGAGAGAGAGAGAGAGAGAGAGAGAGAGAGAGAGACAGAAAGAGAGACAGAAAGAGAGAGAGAGAGAATGAACACAGGATAGGACAGGTATCTGTATTACCTCTCTTGAGCAGTGGATAGAGGCCAGGCACTGGCTGCAGAGAAATTTTACCTTAGATCTGTAATGTGTGAAATTTTTATCAAGAGTATACATAAATATTATTTGTATTTATATACATAAAATAATTTTTAAGCATTTTTAGAAGAATATTTTCTAAGAAGGCAGGGAAAAAAACAAAACTAAGTAGGCAAGGGGTTGGGATCAGGGTCAGGCTGGGCCATGTTATAGGGAACATGCTTTAGGGGTGCAAGAGCCTCACAGTCTTAAAGTCACTCTCAATATGATGTTGGTCTCTTTAGAGTCATCTCCTACTGGGTGGATCAGGAAGGGGTAGACAGAAAAGAAAGGGTATCACCCTCTTGGCTTGGTTACTTAGCAGCGGTCTTAAGGAAACCAAGAAGGGCATTCCTGTGAGTGGAGAGAAAAACTAGAGGACAACTCTGACACTCCCTGTGTTTGAAAGAAGGGGTGGAGGAAACACCGGGGAGGGTGAAAATGACTCCGAAATGCAGATGGAAAGCCTGAGGTCAGGGCTCTGAGCTGCAACTGATGGCTTTTGGAGAATCCTAGGCATCATTTCCTCTGCACAATCTGTTCTCTTCACAGCCATATCATTATCACATCTATGTAAAGAGCCTAATTCAACTTGGAACTGCAAAATCTCAGTTGATCCAACCCTCTGAACCTCTCCAGATCACCTTACCCTGGAAATTTTGAAATAAAAAGTACACTTTTCCAAGGAATATAGCTGATAAATCATACTCCATCCTCACTGCACTCAAATGGTTATAATAGAGAGGGAGGAGTTTGGGAGGAAGAGAAAAAGAGACTCTCATTGATACCCAAGCAAGAATCAAATATTGTACTAGTGGTATTCAATGTATAATTAGGGCAAGTCATTAGATCAAGATGGAATAACAGCAAGTGGTCACACCCTCCTAGGAAAATGAAAAGTAATGATGAGAACCAATAGTAAGAAAGGTGTTTACACCTTCAAACAAAAATTCAGCTGGAATTTGACATAAGATATAAAATAAATCCTTAAAAAACCAACTCGATTCCCAGTAGGGGGTGTGCAAAAGGCAGCCAATCAATGTTTCTCCCTCTCCCATCCTCTCTCTCTAAAATCAGTTTTAAAAAACATTTTTAAAAAATCACAAAAAACTCCTTTAAAAAAAACCTACTAAGATTGAAAACAAGGTCTTCAATAAGTGTCCTTAAAATGTGGGCTCTTGGGCATAAATGTAACCTTGCTATTTATCTAATTGTTGTCCTAATCCCTCTTCTTCAAATTTGTGTCTGAACAGAGAAGGTGACTGAACCATCATCACTTTATAGCAGAAGTAGGACAGTAATAGCTGGCAAAAAAGAGGGGTTCTAATTTTGAATACTTTCCCTCCATTTTTGAGAATATTTGGTTTTATATTTAAATCATCAAAAATATAAAAATACTTTTCACACTAAGTTTTACCCTTGTGACTTTTTGTGAACTTATCCAACTTAACTGGGAGTTGACACATATGGTTATTAATGCTGAGTTCAGCACATACACTTGAATAACAATTCTCACAAAAATGATAAATTAAGTAGGTCAACATGATGATGTTTCTAAAAATCAAATATTACCATGACTATATTTTAAAAATATTGTACTCATATCTGAAAGCACCAAGAATAAAAATGGTAATAATTCCCACAACTGGATGACCTTTTTCTCCGTGTTGACTTTCTCAACTTATCATCCAT